TATGAATTATAAAAGGAAAAGAATCTAACCTAATATATATTTTTTTCAAAATGCAACTCTTTTATTGAGTTCTAGGAGTGTTGTAAAGTTTCAAAATGACATCAGGCCTGAAAGTATAGGTAACATGCAACTCCATAATATAACTGCAGAAACACAACTCAAGTCTGCTATTGCTTTCTGTAGATTGTCGCCTCTGCCCTGTGCCATACCGATGCCCTCACCATCGACCCTGCATTTAAAGACGCTCCTCTCCCAGTGATCCTTGGCCATGAGAGCGCAGGAATTGTGGAGAGTGTTGGGCCAGGAGTGACCAACTTCAAACCAGGTATTTTATTTCATTCTGATGAAATGAAAATGTAGGATATTCTGGGGATAATTCTTGGTGGAATCCTGGCTTTGCATGCTGTAAGTGACCCTGATTTACATAGAGGACCATATCTTCCAAAGTTAAACTGAGACGCACGATCTATCATGGTCTAACGATGGGACAGAATATTTGAATTAGAAACTGTCTAATAAAATCTGGGAAATATGGTCACTTTATTTACATATAGCACTGAGAAAAATGACCTGTGAAGAAAGTTACAAGGTTAGCCTGAACTGAAACTTCCATGTTAAATGAATGACACTTCTTAACAACTTCTATATAAAACAGAAAACTCTTAATATTATATAAGGAATGAGGACTTCTAGGTAGCTTAAGTGAGAAATATTATACATATGCCAATGTTAGCTCGGGTGTCTTTTTGGAACTTTATAATGAAGTAATACCTAAATGAAGCACACCAATAGCTGAAATTATTTACTCCACGTTGTACAACAGATCCACGAAATATTGGAATATGGGCTGTGTGATCCTCACTTGTCAGACAGCACAAACCATATCACTCTTTTCTCTTTTAGCAAGAATGCTTCAGACTTAGAGGTATATTATTAATAGTATCTTTTTACCCCAAAAAAGATTATAAAAACAAATTGCTTCCCAAATTTGGCATTCATAAAGACTCCTTAATCAACGTAAGACCAACGTAATCCCTCTTTAGTCTCAACTCTGCCACTTACTGGCTGTGTGACATTGGCCAGTTATGTCACTTTCCTGTGATTTAGCTCAGATTTCTGTTTTCTAAAGTGCAGATAATAATAGTTCTCATTTCAGAGGGTTGTTCTGAGAATTGAGATAATATGCGTAAGAGGTTAGAATGGTGCCTGGCACATACCAAATGTTGATCCAATGTGAATTATCATGAGACCTTGGTCATCCAAGGACATAAACCATTATGAAATGAGAGCTGAGTAAAAAGTGGGAAAATATGGAATTTGAGAGTAAATGTCAACAGCGAAACATGGCAGTGATATAAAGTTCACTCCCTATAAGCTAGCCTATTTTTGTTCACCTCTCCTATTACAGAAGGATGTTCTGTTTCGTACAGGGTGTTTGGAAATGTAATAAACAACAGTCATAATGCAGAGAGTTACAATGGCAGCAGAGTCTCAGACAGGACTCCGCATCTGATGATATCAATATAGATTTGTTCCTTGACTGACCAGCAGAGTAATTTTTTTAAAAAGAAAACATATGCAATACTCAGAGGAATCTGCAATCTTATAAGGTAGTGAAACACTATAGCCATCTATGCTTCTTGCTGAATATAAAATGCATACTGTAAACAAGTAGTGTTTTCTACTGATTCGTCAGGTAGAAATTATAAGCACCATTCAATATATACCCTTTCTTTCTAGGTGACAAAGTCATTCCATTATATGCCCCTCAATGTAGAAAATGCAAGTTTTGTCTGAGTCCCCTCACAAATATTTGTGAAAAACTCAGGTAAGCTCTACACACTGTTAGTAAGAGTATAAATTCATACAAATATTTTGGGCAGCATACTAAATGCACACATGCTAGAATGTTCATTGCAACACTGTTTATTATAGAAAGCAATTAAAAACAGCATGAATCTCCACCAATAAGATAATGGATTAGAATATTACTATGTAATAACACAGTGAAATACTATACGGCATCACACTACATGGCAATGAAAATGGCTGAACTTGAACTACATGTATTAGCGTAGAATAATCTCACACACACATGGTTAAGAGAAAGAAGGAATTGCTGAAGGATATATTTAGTAAGGTGTCATACACGAAAACAATACTATACATCGTTTATGGTTACGTGCATATGTAGTAAAAGTATAAATACGTCACTGGAATAATAATGCTAAATGCAGAATAGTAGCTACTTCTACAGGAATGAGAGAGAGATGCAGAGGGACACAGCAAAGTAATTGACTCCAAGCCCACACAGATAGAAGTCTTGGAGCCAGGTTTCTAACCTAGGCAGTCTGGCTCCAGAGTCTAAAATCTTAATCACTTCGTTTTTACTTAACTGGGACTATATGGAAAGATCCTTTTGTTCTTAACGCTAATTGAAAGTAGTTATTCAAGAAACAAAAACTGTACTACTCTTATCTATTATTGTACCCCTATTTTTCATCTCTAAAATGGGGACAATAATAATGCCTTCTTTACAGAATTGTTGTAGATATTCAAAGAATATACTTTTTTGCTAACCTTCAATGAAATAATGGATTTATGCAATGGACATAAATTCTCTATTATGAAGAGAGATGATCAGATATTATGTCCTTCCACAAAAAAATAAAACCTAAATCAGATCAAGTGTTTAGACCACAAAATACTAATTTAAGAGAAAATACGGGGACAGAGAAATAAATATGTTAAACCAGATTATAGGAATGTAATCAGCAAAATCCAGAATGAGGGAAGGTGGAAAACTCTACAAGACAAATGACTCAGTTTCTTTGACAAATAAACCACAAGGAAACAAAGAGGGCAGGAAGGACTCCATGAATTAAAAGACATTTAAGAGACATATTGGCCAAAACAATATGTGGACCTACAAGAATCTTTTAGAGATAGATAGTGAAATATTTACAGATGAAATAGTGATGGCTGGGATTTGCTTCAAAATATTCCAATGCAGGCGACAGGGTAGGTATTCTGGAGGAGAAATAGATGAAACTAGATTGGCCTTGAGTTAACAGTTACTGAGCTTGGAGACGGGTGCATGAGGGTTCATTACGCTATTCCTTCTACTTTTATACATGTTTGGATTTTCCATAATAAAAATTTTTTAAGAGTTAATACATATAAAGCCCTTAAAAGTGTTTCTGGTACATGAAAAGCATTTAATAAAAACTGTTGTTTGTTATTATTATCGTTAAAAGACTTCCAACGGACTATGTATGTGAAAAGTCTTAAATCCTTTTCTCAATTTTTCCATCTTATAAAATTGTTATGAAAAATATATAATGCTCAACATATTTTGTAGGAAAGTGATTAATGTTTCATTTACTTCCTCCTTCTTTGTGTCTCTTTCTAAATTTTGTAGCACAGAGAAAAATCTTGTTGCTGATCAAGAACTAATGGCGGACAAAACCAGCAGGTTTACCTGCAAAGGAAAACCAATTTACCACTTCATGGGAATCAGTGGGTTCTCTCAGTACACTGTGGTGTCAGATATTAGTCTTGCCAAAATCGATGATGATGCAAATTTAGAGAGAGTTTGTCTGCTTGGATGTGGGTTTCCAAGTGGCTACGGGGCTGTAATCAACAATGCCAAGGTAAGCGGTTAAAGACAGGTTGCGTAAAACAGAAGTTACTAGGAGGTAGTGTGATATAAAAGAACAACAGCCAATTACCTTTAAACTCACTTAACCGCTCTAGAATAGTATCTACTAGAAATACTTATGGGGATATTTAAATCATATTACATATATAAGACATCTGGCCCAGTAGCGGGCATATACGAACGAATGGATAAAGCCAGGTGCGTAGGAAACCATTAAAATAAAACATCTTGGAGAGGCTTGGTCCTCAGCTTTGTAATCCAGAAAGTCCTTTTTATCAGGTTACCTAGAGTTGTTCAGCATCAAGGAAACAAAGTCAGCCTCACCGAAACAAAAGGCTGATCGAGTAGCCAAGCTATCAAGGTGTGACTTTTCATTGAGAATTTTATCTGCCATGCAAAAAGAAACACTACTCTTTGCTACTAGCATTTTATTTCCTCCTAAAAATGTATTCATGCATTCAATCGTTCATTAGTAAAAAAAATTAAACTGTAATCTGAAAGCTGTCAGAGAAAGGGTACTGGCAGCTGGGTGAAGAGCCGATGTGACCCTGGCCGTCACGGCTTCTTCTCTGCTAGACTAGACAGCA